TAATCTGGGTTATTTCAGAACTGATTTAATCAAATGATTCCCAACAATATTTAAAATGTAACCAAAACTTTTTGTTCTTAGAAGAATTTAAAGCCCATTTTGAATGTTCAGAGTATCGCCGATAGTGACGTCACTTCCTCTGCAGAGGGCTGCAATGGTAGTCAAAACTAAAAACAAGGTAAAAATAACTCTTTTGCTGCGTTAAAGAAGCGTAATGCAGAATTTAAAGCCTTTCATCAATTAAACTTTTATGAGTCCAAATGAAAAAAAAATACATCCTGAAGTGTTTACTTCCTCCTTGAAGCATCCGGTTGTAGTTTTATTTCATAAATCTGATTTCGGGAACGCTTTAAGCATTTCACACACAGAGAGGCAATTCAGGGTGCAAGAAAACGTTTAAATCGACTAAATCATAAGAATTTTACAACATAAAAAGATCAAACCCCTTCTACAGGAAAGGACCCCAGTCACGTGATGGGTTGTTACCATGGCAGCGCCTTATGTTGACGTACGGACTCGCCTGCGAGCGGACGGAAGGTTAACGGCGTGATTTTATCCGTCCGACTGCTGCTGTGTGAAACGATGGTAAATCAAAGTTGACGGTAGAGTTAAAGAAAACTTGTGCTGTCTTTGTTTTACCGGTAACTTCCGTTCACATTGTGTTGTTAGCGGTTTAGCTTAGCATGAGCCGGGAGAACTAGCTTAGCATGAGCCGGGAGAACTAACGTAGTCAGTCCCGATGCGTTTCTCTTTCAGCCTCCGCGGACTAAACAGAAGAATCCCGGAAAGGGGAAGTCCTCCGCGGAAATGGGTCGTCTGTCCACGGAGGAAATGTCCAAGGATCAGGTAGAGCTTCCGATCGATGCTACGTCACCATGGAGACAAACTCCCGGCCGGGCTGGATGAAGCAATAACTACAGTCACACATACATCGCGTTGGTTTGAATAATAAATATTAGAATAGAAAATGATGTTTAAGTGTTAAACACTGCTGCATGTTGCTATCTAGAACAGTCTGGTTGATGCTTCTGACCTCTGAATCGTTAAAGAGCAAGTCACCCCCAAATAAACTTTTTTTTTGCTGATAAACTAAATAAACGAGTGTCTAATCGTGCTGCAGACACGTGTCGTCAATAATTTGGAACTTCAGTGCATTTTAGTTAAAATTTAAATATTCTGCCTAAAACTGGCAGTGTTGTGCCGTTGTCAGGTAAAAACTCTGCACTGTATTCTAATTTAAATCTGCCACCGCTATTGGCTAAGAGGTACGCTATGATGTAAACTGGTACATTATGATGTCACAGTGCTGTCGTGAGCCTGTGTGTGTGTGTATTTGTTAGCAGCTCCGCCCTCTCGGTCTGCCAGGCAACAGCATTTGGTGCATTTTTCAAACATGAAGTGGGAGTGGAGTTAGACTTTGGTAGGGGGTGACTTGCTCTTTAAGGGCAGTCCCAACGAGCCGGAGTTTTGTCAAAGAACGACTTTATTTCAGAGGCGGAGCTGGAAACTCTCCTTGTGCACCTGTCGGTGTGTGTGATGACACGTGTGTCTTTGCGTGCAGCTGGAGGAGCACATCGTTCGTCTCCGGGAGGAGCTGGACAGAGAGCGCGAGGAGAAGAGCTTCTTCCAGCTGGAAAGGGATAAAACCCAAGACTTCTGGGAAATCTCCAAGAGGAAACTGCAGGAGGCCAAAGCGGAGCTGAGGAACAGGGACAGAGAGAGGGACGAGGCCGAGGAGCGCCACCAAGTAGAGATCACAGTGAGCTGCAGCTTTACTCCAGCCGAGAGGCTCCTGATAGATTCACTTTAACCAAGTATGGAAGCTGCGCAGTGGTGCAGTGGTTAGAGCTGTTGCCTTGCAGCAAGAAGGTCCTGGGTTCGCTTCCCAGCCTGGGATCTTTCTGCATGGAGTTTGCATGTTCTCCCTGTTCTCGCCTGTTCTCCGGCTTCCTCCCACAGTCCAACAACATGACTGTTAGGTTGACTGGTCTGTCTACATTGTCCTTAGGTGTGTGTGTGTGTGTGTGTGCATGGTTGTTTGTCCTGTGTGTCTCTGTGTCGCCCTGCGATGGACTGGCTCTCTGTCCAGGGTGTACCCCGCCTGATTGCCCGTTGACCGCTGGAGATAGGCACCAGCCCCCCGCGACCCCACATGGACAAAGCGGGTTCAGACGATGGATGGAAGCTCATTGATGCCAGAAATAAAAACACATTTTTCTCCCACGCCTCCTTCCAGCGCTGACTTCTACAGCCTGTCTGAAACTGTTTGTGTCCATGTCTTGGTGCGTGTGCTCCTGGTCAGGAAGCTGATTCTGATATCTTCATTCTAATCTAAACGTCTTACCAACCATCACCTCCCCCTGATGTTGTCTTGGCATAAACCTGACTACCTAACCCAACGTGTCCTCCTCACCTTTCAGGTCTACAAGCAGAAGCTGAAACACGTCTTGTCTGAACAGCAGAATACCATTTCAGAGATGAAGATGGACACCGCCTGCTCGGCCCTACTGGTCCAAAACCAGAACACGGACTCGGGGCTCGAGCTGCACAGAGGTCTTCAGAACCTTCAGATGGATTTTCAGGAGAAGCTAATCCAGGAGGGCATCTCCATCATGGAGCTGAGGCAGGTGAGACGACATTCATGTCTATTTTGATGTTGGTTTCTTCACCTGAGTGATTCGTGGCCTCCTTTTCCTCAGAAACACCAGGTGGAGCTGATGGAGCTCAACAACAAGTACCGTCACAGGCTGAAAGGTTGGACCACCTGCTCTCCTCTTCTCCTGCTGTTCCCTAGTTCTTCCATCCTTCCACATCCTGTTGTGTCGGTCCTTTGCCCTGCTGTGGGTTAACGTGTCGCTCCTGAATGTTCCTCCTCAGAGGTGGAGCAAACGTTCCAACAGAGGATGGACTTTCTAGTGACAATGGAGGACAAGAAGAGGGAGTCAGCCATCAGAGAGCTGGAGAACCATTTGGAGAACCGCATGGGCTCTGTGATCCAAGATCAGGACCGGGTTCTGAGACAAGCTGAAGAGTTCTACACTCAAGTAATCAAAAAACAGCTATCGGATCAGGAGGTTCCGAAGGTGAGTCGGTTGATTACGGCAGAACCAGCTGGTTCTTCTTCTGTTCCCATGAACCACAAACACAGAACATCATGATGGTTCTGAAGGTTCTGACCAGGGTTCCGTTAAATTCTTAACAGAATTTTATCAGAACATAAAGACAAATCTGCTGCTGAACTTCAGTAAAAGCTGGTTCTGTCTGGAGAAAGTTCCGTTGTGTCAGTCGGGTTCTGTTTTTTCTGTCTGGGTCATGGCAGGCAGAGGCGCTGCGGTCTGAGATGATCCAGAAGAACAGAAAGCTTGAAAGAGCTCAGCAGAAGGAGAAGGTTCTGAAGAGGTCACTGAAGGAGGCGGAACAGAAGGTGCTGGAGCTGCAGGAGCAGCTTCAGAAACACGTCCGGTTCCAGGAAGCCATGAAGGTCCATTTGTTCAGAAGTCACACCTGTCTGGTTCTGAGGCTTCTAACTGATGAAGACGTTTTGTTAAACAGGAGAACCAAGGTCAGCAGAAGGTGGTGGAGAAGGAGCTCAAAGATCTGATGGTGGAGTACGAGCTGCTCCTACAGGCCTTCCAGAAGGTAAAGCGCACCCGTCTGCTGCTCTCTCCGTCCTCTCAGCGAGCTGATGGGTCAGAACCGCCTCTGCAGGTGGAGCAGGAGCGAGACGAGCTGCTCCAGCGACAAATGGAAAGCATTCTGGATGTGCAGCAGAGGAGCAGCCTGAAGAGGATTCTGCTGGAGAAGAAGTTGTCTGCTCTGACAGAAACACTGGAGGAGAAGGAGGCACAGCTCTGCACCACGCTGTCGGTGTCCAGCATCGACCCGACAACCCGCAACGCCGCCGCCAACAAGCTGCAGGTACGACCCGATGCTCGGGTTCTGAGTCGAGTAAATGAGTTTTTAAAGCTTTTTTTAAAGCACCTTTCAAAATAAAAGTCACACAATGCTTCACAAGCAAAACAAAGGAGACAGAAATAAACAGCAGCATGATGAGAGAGTAGAGAGGAAGAAGAGGAGGCCGCACCAAAGCCAGCCTGAACAGGTGAGTCCTCAGCTGCTTTTAAAGGAGACCACTGAGTCCACTGATCTCAGGCTCAGGGGGAGAGAGGTCCAGAGTCTGGGGGCCACAGCAGCAGATGATCTGTCACCTTTGACCTTTAGCCTGGTGCTGCACAACCAGTAGGCTTTGGTCACTGGACCTCAGGGACCTGCTGGGGGTGTAGGCACTGAGAAGATCACCAATGTAAGATGGTGCTTGTCCATGTAAGGCCCTATAGACCAGAACCAGGATCTTGAAATGGACCAACCAGGTGTACGTACTGGTACTACCATCAGTTGACAGCTCCTCTCTTCACCTGAAGTGTCCAAAACTGAGTCTTTCCTTTAGACATCTTTGGTGTGTTCCTGCTGTGTTTAGTTTCTAATTCCATTTTTGGTTCTTTTTAAAACACAGGAAAGGATTTTCTTTACCTCGCTAACGTAGGAAGTGACGCCACCATCAGCGTCAGCTCTGAGGAAGTTTTGCAAACGAAACGTCAGCAACGTAAAGAAAAACCTTTCTGTGTTTTAAAAAGAACCACAAATGGAATTAAGTCTTTCCTTGTCCTGCAACTTCAACTGCCCTGGTACCAGGCGTTCTGATGGGTTCCTTAAAGAGCAAGTCACCCCTTACAAGAAGCGGACTCCACTCCCACTTCATGTTTGAAAAATGCAACAAATGCTGTTGCCTAGCAAACCGAGAGGGCGGAGCCGCTAACAAATACACACACTCACGACATTGTGACATCATAATGTACCAGTTTACATCATAGCATACCTCTTAGCCAATAGCGGTGGCAGATTTAAATTCAAATGTAGTGCAGAGTTTTTACCTGACAACGGCACAACACTGCCAGTTTCAGGCAGAATATTTAAATTTTAACTAAAATGCACTAAAGTGCTAAACTATTGACGACACGTGTCTGCAGCACGATTAGACACGCATTTATATAGTTTATCAGAAAAAAATTGTTGATTTGGGGGTGACTTGCTCTTTAAGGTGGAACGTAGCTAGAGTGTTGCAAGCACCATCCCATTCTTCTGGTCCACATAGATTTCCTGGTGGTTCTGGTCCACCAACAAGTCAGATGTTGTTCTGCTATAAACATTAAGTTCAGAGTGGCATGTAACTGCTAGAACTCATAAAACATTTTTGTTCTGGCAAAAAGTCAAAGCAGATTTTGTTGCTGAGGTCCAACAAAGCCGTAGCCTGGTTCTGTCTGCTTGCAGGAGGTTCTGGAGGGTAAACGGGCCACCATCGACGCTCTGCAAGCAGACTTGGCTGGAGAGTCCATGGTGCGTCTTCTACCCGCAGGTGCTTCTGTTCAGTTCCCTTCTGCAGCTCAGGTGGTGACAGCATGATGTTTGATCTGCAGGAAGACAGCCAGCTGCTGCACAGCTGGAAGGAGCAGCTGCAGGCTACAGGTGTCTCACCGCAGGACGTCCCCTCCAGAACCACAGAGCACATCCTGGAGGGAACATCATCTGTCAGCTAAAGCCCAGAGACAGACGTCTGCTCCTGGACTCTAAGGGCGTCGGATAAAAGTTGGAATCTCTACCTGATAAACTGTTGAGATGAACGATCCAAACTGCTCTGAAGCTCAACAGAACTGACAGTTGAAGAATGTCTTCTTAAGTTTTTCAATTAAAAATAAAACTGACATGGAAACCTAAACTTCAACTGTATTGGTCTGAGTCATTTTAAAGAAGTCTGACCGACTCTTCTGCAGCTAACCGCTAACCCAAAACGAGCTAGTTAGCATGATGCAGTTCAAGGGTCATTAGTGGCCCTCGACTGCGGCTCCAGAGCAGAAGTCATTTCTGCAGGTTGTTGTTTCAGGATGACTTTTCTAGTTGGGCACTGATGTGGTACACGTGCGTACCGGTGTTATGTCAGTCTGAGCGGTACCGTATACTCGAGTCCCGCGACTGCGCCGCTCCGTGTCTGAAACACGAGTGCTCATCATACCACAGAACCACCATGGCAGCTCGAACATCGCGTTTCTGTAAACTCGCCTCGTGAGTTCTTCAACAAACATCTGACTTTAATCTTCAGCATCTTGAGACCTTTCAGAATTAGATATTTTACAGGTTTTGGTTGAAATGTCTCAACATTCAACTTAGAAGAGACGAGTCACTTGTTTCATTTCATCCGATAAATAATCAGCTGATCTACATCACAACAGGAAACAGGGAGTTAATGTTTCAGTTTGAAGCGTCACACAGGGACCAGGTCCTGGTGAAGTCCAGGTCTACACATCTCCTGCTGGACCCCCCCCCATCCCCCCGGAAGGGAGTCGCTTTCCTGTTGGGTTTGGCTTGATGTGATGCGGACCCCCTATGGAGCTCAGCTGGTTCCATGGCTGCTGGACTCGAAGACGCCCTTCTTGAAGAACGCAGAGAACTCGCAGACGTCGAGTTTAGAGAGACGGAAGACGCCGTCCTCATCAGCTCTGAGAGGAGAGCGGGAGGACGACAGCATAATCCGGAACAAGTTCTGGAGGTACCGCTGCAAAGAACAGACGAACAAAGTGATGCTTCACCTCCAACATCAACAGAACATTATGACCACTCAGTGGTGAAAAGGTAAAGCTCTGATGGTACAAATGTGACCTTTGACCCTGTCTGACACTGACTCTGGCCGTGTCCGAGATGAGCCGGTTCTGCGCAGATTAGATCACCGGTGACCGAAACGCGGTGCATGCCGGTTAGCTTTGTGTCCGACTTGCTCTGACGTCATCCCTACGTAGGCAACGATAACCTCGTGAGATCAAGGCGGCCGCAGATCTTGGAGCAAGGTGCTGCAGTTGCTCTCCACCGGCTGCTAAACCTAGGGCATGACGGGAAACACCTGGCTCTCACCTGATCTAAGATCTGATTGGTTCATATTCTGATCCAAACATCCGGTGGTAGAACATGAAATGTTAGCAGGTCACATGTATTCTGTGAATCATGTTACGTTGATGATGACAACTATATAGGCCATAAAGAGAAATGTGTTTTGTGTTCTTTTGTCACGTTTCCTATGAGCACACTGAAGCTACAGCTGCTAACCTTTACTTATTATTACAGTCATGTCTCCATATACAACATATGATATCCACAAGCACGTGAGGATCAGCTGCTAACAGGCACCAGAATTAAAATAATTAAACAAGTATGAACTCTAACGCGATATCTTCATCCATCGTCACCCGCGAGCTACACATGTAGGGAAATCTGTCCGACTTAAGCGCCGGCTTTCAGCCCCTCCCCCTGCTGCGTCCGTCTGTTTTCCAGACGAGGCGCTGCTCATCTCGAACACGGCCACCATCACAGAGATTTCCTCAGAAACCTACAGGCGAAGTCCCCATCATGTCTTTTAGTCCGCCTCCTAGGTGCTCCTCAGTTCTAATCACCTGCCTCACCCTGACCTTGGTCCCACATTCTGGTCCTCGGGACCTTCCTTCCTGCATGTTCTCAAGTTCTCTTCCTGCATTAACACACATGGCTCCAGTACGTAGAACATTATCCAGCTCCTTATCCAGAAACCCTGAGGACCTCAGCGGCGCCTTCAGCAGCACCATCTCATACCTCCAGGTGACTGCGGCGTTCCGCCACCATCCGCTCGTCTCGGTTTCCAAACAGCTTCTTGGGCGGAAACTCAAGAGCTGCCAACTGAAAACACAAGCAGACTGATCTGGATCCAGATTCCACACAAACACCTCAGAGTTTGTTTCATCTCTAAGATCTGAAGGGAGGAAGGACCATGGTTTGTATTCAGGTGTGGGGAGCCAGTCCTCTCACCTCTGGATACTTGGACTTCAGACTCTTGTGCATTTCTCTGAAGCGGCTGTAGCGTCTGAACACCGTCCACATCTCGTCCGCCACGGAGATCTGATGGATGACACCATGGAGGTCAGTTACGTTCACCCTATCCACATATTAGAGGTGGGAAAAATGATCGATTCTAAGATGCATCGCAATTCAGCCGTGCATGATTCCGCATCGATGCAGCAGCATGACATAATGAGATTTTCTCCCTATGTCTATGTCAGGGGTCGGCAACCCGCGGCTCTGGAGCCGCGTGCGGCTCTTCCATCCATCTGATGCGGCTCTCTGTGCTTGTAAAATAATGAATGGATATTTAAATAAAATGCTTTATATTTTACTGCATTAATTTTACATCTGTATGCTAATTCTAAATGTAAAGATTGTCTGCGTAAACCTGAACAGCTCCAACCCGGTCTTACTGTGAGACCGGGTTGACGCGTCACGCTTGTGCGTAATCATATCGGTGCTTTCTGAGCTGAAGAGGATGTGAGATTCTGGACTTCTCCTCAGACGGCTCCTGGATGCGTCGCCACATTGGAGACCGGAACAAGCGCTATTCAGCCAAAGTTTCATAATCAGGGAACATTTTCTAAGTGACAAGTCTCGCTTCAGTCAGAGGAATCTTCCTGCATGCGCTCTGGTTCTGCAACGCGCTCCGAGCCCCTCTCCACATCTTCAGCTCGCTGTGGACCTTATGTAGTACACGCTGACAGCGAGCTGCGCTGAGCAGTGTCCAGCTCAGATGTTCAGATGGGAATCTTTTCTTGAGTGATTTATCTACATCTGCGATGTGCGAAACGAATAAAATGTCAGTTTGTCTGCATGTGTCGGGGTAATTCTTTCTATTCTTTCTCCGTCAAAATAAACGGTCAAACACGGGAACTGTCCGGTCAACACAAGCCCTGCTTTTAACTGTTCTGTTTTCTTGTGAAAATTGTTGCAAAGAGATATAATTTAACTTGATTACCACCAGAGCCAGGCGCACTGCGCCGTTATCTCCGTCACTGTAAATGAGGGAAAAACAAAATGATCGGATCCTTTTCTGACCTTCCCCACCTACAAAGTTTAATTACAACAATCAAACGTGACAGAGCCTGGATTTGTATTCTGAACAGTCTAAACATGTTTTAAAAAGAAACGTATGACACAAGTGGCACCTGCTCAGTAAAACCACCAACAGGGTGAAAAATATCAAAATATTGTCGGCAGAGACGGGCTACAGCTTCTGGATCCTCTTTATATAAATCGTTTTATTGATTATCTTCTTATGAAAGATAACTTTGACGTACACGAGCGACCGGTACTGGCTGCTGTCTGGGGGTAGGCCCCGCCCACAACGCCGCGGCTGCTGTGGCTCCCAGTGTTTTCTTTACTGAGGGAAACGGGTAATAATGGCACTTTGATGGGAACAGGTTGCCGACCACTGGTCTATGCCTATGCAGGACAATAAAGTTTTGAGGTTTTACAATTACTTCTGGGGGCAGAGTTGCAATGACATGCGCACTGCGTTGCCCTAGCGCCAATTTAAACCAGAAAAGGCGGACAGGGATACAGGGCCAACATTACCAGTAATCAAAGATGTACCCGTTACATTTAAATCGGATGTCTGGGCTAATTTTGGTTTTGGGTTCCTGGATGTGAAAGAATCACTTAACACAGTATTTGTTTACTATTTTTAAGTTCAGTAATATTCTACCTTAAAGCTGCTCTACCGAAAATATTATTTCTTATTAGGGATGCACCGATGGATCGGCATTTGATCGTAATCGGCCGATAGCGCCCCTATCGGTTTTGATCGGAATTTTCAAAATAGATCAAAGCAGACCGATCAGGTAGGGTTGTCACGGTAACCAGTGTAGCGGTAAAAAAAAAAAAAAAAAAAAAAAGTTGACAATAATAATGTAAGCGGGTGATGTGTTGTGCGCATGTGCGGCGAACTTTGAACTCCTGGACTGAAGGGTGGAGTCACCAGTCTCTCTCTCCCGTGGGGCATTCGCGCGCAGGGAGTTGAGCTAACCGGTTCGGTAATAAATAAACGGAGACGTGTTCCCGTACTCCAAAGACATTTCGCCTCTTCTTTCTCTTCTTTTGGTCCTGAGACTACGAGCCGAGCCATTACAGCTCGCACGTTTACATTGGTGGCAGTGGTGTTTGGCGACGTTCACCCCCGGGACGTGGCTCGTGAGAAGGCTACGCAGGACCGCAGGACAATGTTCGGAGGCTCTTGTACCGGTTTGGACGAGGACAAGCTTGGCGCAGGTTGGACTGAGGATGTGTGTAACATCAGAGTGGAGCTGCCCGCGCCATTTTGTGGCGACGGGCGTAAACTATTCGCTACGTGGATTAAACAGTTTGAGGCTGCGGTTCGCGCCCAAACCCGAGGGGCGGGAAGACGGAGTTACACCGCCAATTTGGCTGCTCTTTTGCCCACTAGACTGGACGGAGCCGCTTTTCTTCTGTGGGACAGCCTTCCTGCAGCTACGCAAGGTGACTTTGACCGTGTAAAGGAGAAGCTAAATGAGGCATTTGGACAGAAACAGTTCATATTGTACTTCCAGACCTGTGTTTCTGCTCGGCCTAGGCTGGCTAATGAGAGTTTGGAGATATATGCGGCTGATATTTCGAGGCTTGTCACGGAGGCTTTTCCTGAGTACGACGCCAGGGCGCAAAATGGAGAAAAGTTTAGGCGTTTCCTCGCCGGTCTGGACCCGGGCCTCCGTGCTAAATGTCACGAACAGGGGGCTACTGATCTGGACGAGGCCCTGATTATAGCTGGACGTTGTGAGCGGGCTAGGCTGGCCTTGGCCGCAGGGACGCAGACCGGCAACTTCGCGAATGGCCCGGTGACCGTGGCTACACTTT